CCTTGACAAAATAGTGTTGCAGAAAGGCGTAATCAAACACTTATGGATATGGTCAGGAGCATGATGAGTAATTCCTAAATACCCAAATTATTATGGATATATGCTCTTACAACCCCTGTATATTTATTAAACAGGGTTCCTAGTAAGGCAGTCCAAAGACCCCTTTTGAACTGTGGACAAGAAGGAAACCTAGTTTAAGGCACCTGCATGTTTGGGGTTGCCCAACGGAAGCTAGAGTTTATAATCCACAAGAAAAGAAATTAGATTCTTGAACAGTAAGTGGTTACTTTATTGGTTATCCAGAGAAATCTAAAGGGTATGTGTTTTAATGTCAAACCATAGTTTAAGAATTGTTGAAACTGGTAATGCAAGATTCATTGAGAATGGTGAAGTTAGTGGGAGTGTTGAAAAGCAAAGTGTGGAATAAAAGAGGTGAGGGTCAATGTTCCATTACCCCCAAATGTGCCTACTTCCACACAAATACCAAATATTGTTCCAGTTGTTGAAGAACACTTTGACAACACCGAGCAACATTTGGATGAAACACTTCATGAAGAAACTAACTCACAAATATCTGACACAAATGAACCACAAGAAATGCCATTAAGAAAATCTCAAAGAGTTAGAAAATCGGCTATTTCAGATGATTACATGGTTTACTTGCAAGAGTCGGATTTTGACATTGGTCTTAATAAGGATCCGTTTTCATATTCACAAGCCATAGAAAGTAATGAGTCTGACAAATGGATCGATTCCATGAAGGAAAGGTTAAAATCCATGGAATACAATAAAGTCTGGGATCTCGTTGAATTGCTAGAAAGTTCTAAAAGAATCGGGTGTAGATGGGTCTTTAAGACCAAACGCGATTCAAATGGTAATATTGAACGATATAAAGCAGACTTGTTGCCAAGGGTAATACTCAGAAAGGAGGCAAAGAGACGTTTCACTTATCTCAAAGAAAGACTCGTTAAGAATTATTATGGATTTGGTGGCTCATTATGATTTAGAGTTACACCAAATGGATGTGAAAACTGCCTTTCTTAATGGAGACCTCGAGAATGAAGTTTATATGGACCAACCAGAGGGTTTCGAAACTAAAGGAAAATGTCAAATGGTGTATAAACTGAAGAAGTCAATATATGGACTAAAACAAGCCTCACGACAATGGTATATAAAGTTTAATGATACCATAAAATCTTTTGGATTTGTGGAAAATATCGTTGATCAGTGTATATACCAAAAGATCAGTGGGAGCAAGTTTATATTCTTAGTCCTATATGTTGATGATATCCTACTTGCTGCTAATGATTTAGGCATATTGCGTGAGACTAAAAATTTTCTCTCTAAGAATTTTGAAATGAAAGATAAGGGCGAGACATCCTATGTGATAGGAATAGAAATATTCCGTGATAGATCACAATAATTATTGGGATTGTCTCAGAAAGGCTATATCGAAAGAGTTCTAGAGAGATTTAACATGAATAACTGTTCAGCAGGAATTGTTCCAATTCAAAGGGGGGACAAATTTAGTCTCATGCATTACCCTAAGAATAATGTAGAACGAAAAGAAATGGAATCAATTCCTTACTCTTCTATTGTTGGTAGTCTGATGTATGCTCAGACTTGCACAAAACCGGATATTATTTTTGTGGTCGGAATGCTGGAAAGATATCGGAGTAACCCAGGAATTGATCACTGGAAAACTGCAAAGAAAGTCTTGAGGTACATGAAAGGAACGAAGGATCACATGCTCATGTATAGAAGATCCAAGCATTTGAAAGTTGTTGAATACTCGGATTCAGATTTCGCTGGATGTATTGACACTAGAAAGTCCACGTTTGGTTATTTGTTCCAATTAGCTGAAGGAGCAACATCATGGAAGAGTTCCAAATAGTCTGTCATTGATACATCCTTGATGGAAGCAGAATTTGTGGCATATTTTGAAGCCACAATTCATGCATTATGGTTGTGACACTTTATTTCAGGACTTGGCATTGTCGACACCATTACCAAGCCGCTGAAAATTTACTGTGATAATTCGGCAGCAGTATTCTTCTCCAAGAACGATAAGAACTCCACATGTGCCAAACATATGGAATTAAAGTACTTTACCGTCAAGGAGAAAGTTCAGAAACAAAGAGTGTCACTTGAGCATATTAGAACTGATCTCATGATTGCAGATCCGTTAACGAATGGTTTACAGCCAAAGATATTTAAAGAACATGTACATAGAATGGGTCTTGGCTGTATTTATGATTGAAGTATTTATGATGTTTTGATACTCTGATCTCATTTATGTGTTTCTGATATACATTAATGATTTCCTGTTTCTCATAATGGTGTACACATTATTGTTTTGAGATATTACATGATAAGTCTCAATGAGACATTATTGTGGACCATAATATTTTATAGCTTATGGACCTGATACGATAAGTTACTAATATTGTAGTATATGGAAGGAGTATGTAGACAAATTATATATGACCACCATAACTCACATTTACTAGTTTATCGTATTGTGGTGTTTATGATGGACATTATAAAAGAGATTTGTTTATGCGCAACTAATGTTCCTATATTAAATATTAATATTATGTGATTATTTGGCCAAGTTGGAGAATGTAAGATTTTCTTACGTTTATTGGTGGCCCAATAAGTTTAAACGCCCATAATTAATATTTAATTAATGATCAAATCTCATCCGTCCGATCGGTTACTTGATGGACGTACCGGATTAAGTGAGAACCTCTATAAATTGGACCTCATCCCCACCCATTAGGGTTACCGTATTTTTATTTCTCTCTTCCATCACTAAAGGCGGCAGTAACAAAAGTTAGGGAAAGGGGCGAGAAACCAATTTCGATAAACGCTTCCGCTTCGTGATAATGGCTTACGATTAAAGTATGTTTTCTGTAGCAACTTTATGTAAGGTTATCATGTTCATGAAGATCCTGGTATGCAATTAAAATTTATGTTTACATCGTAGCCATATATTATGTAATTTTATATTTAACCTACATTTGATCTGATTTGGCAAATTTAGTCTAATTAAATAAAACCAATTTTCCCTTTACACCTCTATTAGCGTACGTGTTACAGGCCATGCCAGTTTCTATAGAGTTCAGAAACTAAATTGAAGTTAAGCACAGGATATAAAGTGAATTAATCTCACTGAATATCCCAAATAGTTCAAATGCAATACAACGAGCTCAACAAATTGAGAGAGTCACGTGTGCAAAAATAGTTAGTTAGCTAAATATTGAGCAAATTAACTGTGACAGTCAAGCGTAAGCACCCGGTTAGCTTAGCTAATAATTAGCATCAACTGCTTTAAAAAACATTTCTATTTGCTGAAAATATGTTTGGATAGAAATATTAAAGCCGATAATGAGCAGTTAATGTGTTAAGATGATAAAAATAGCCTTAAAGCTATTTAAAAGGAAAATTATCTTTTCTTTACATACAGAAGAACAATTTAAGGTGGAAACAGAATGGGAAGGAAGTTAGCAGATTTTCTGGCAAATGTATGTCAGGATAAAAGAATTTTTTGAGGAAACAAAAAATATATGTATAGATGAAGCACCATAACACTTGACTCAAGCAATTATGTTCACGAGCCAGCCTTTTCGGTCGGATATCCATAGTTCTTGAACTCTCTCTCTTTTTTTTTTTTTTTTTTTTTTTTTTAGTTCTCGAAATTAATTGGCATTTGAAGACTTCAAGTGTTATTGAATTAAAATAGTTGTTTTCATGTAACATTAGCATTAACACAGCTCCAGTCTAAGATCATATTGATTTTGTGAAGCTCACTACTGGAATATTATACTAGCTAGATGATGTGCAAGATCTTAGGCATACACACAAAAAGTAATGGGACATCATATATATGTACAAATAAGTACTTTCAGTTGCAGAGGAACAACTTTGATTTAGTTTTTCTTTAAATTATATATATGTGCATTAGAGACAGTGCACAACTATTCTACTAATTCAGCAGCATGAACGGATTTGAACGTATGACTTAAAAAGTAATTTTGTACTTCTTTTGCCACTATACTAGAATCTTTTCTTATGTTAAAGAGATTAAACTAAAAGAAATTGTTTTGTGCAATATAATATTCGGAAATTGAATTGAACCCCCTTACATCCACCTAGTTGCGATCGCCTTCTCCATCCCTTAAGAAATCCATCTAGGGAATGTTTGTTTGAATTCTTGACATCCGTTCATGAAAAACAAGATAATGCAGCCGCGAGGCTCTTGACCACGCTCTCGCGACCTTCATTGCTTTGCACTTTTGTAAGAATTTTAAATGCCAGTTGTAGTAACCTCAATAAAGATGATTTTACCGTGAAGGAAACCAAGACTATAACGCTGAAAAGACTAGTAATTCTGGAGTGAACCACCTTTATTTACTTTCTCTACTTTTCGCAAAGACTTATTAAGGACTGTATCGTTTAGATCAGTCCCGGCTTGTAATGACACTTCTTAATTTCCTGTAAAATAATAATAATTTTGTCTTTTAGCAACAAAAAAAATACGGATATATAAGTTCAGTTTGCATGTGCGGAACTAGCAGAGCTCATAATACACTCCAATATATATTCAGGCAAGAAATGGCTAAGACAAATGAATTTTCAAATGTTAAGGTATAACCATTAATTTAGCACCAAATGATGCAACTAAGAACATTGAAATAGAGCGATGCCTCGTAGCACCAAATGATACGATCTACGAATATTGAAATACAACGATGCCTCTATTCTAAAGTCTAAACCAGAGAACTGACAACGGAGTAGATATGTTTTGAGATTAAACCAGGTGCTTCTGGGATGAAAGTTCCACATATATATATATATATATATATATATATATATATATATATATATATATATATATATATATATCATCAATCGCTTATATTGCAACCGCAGTATAATTACACTTGTACTTATTAACCAAACTAAAAGTAAAAATAAATAGGAAACACACGGTATTATCACATTCAGTTGATCTCAAATCATGATTTAAACAAAAAGAGCTAAGACGAATGTAATCTTGAAAGATGCTTATTTGGCAATAAACTGAGGAAGGGGGATTATGCACCACAGCGCACAGTGACGGTCTATGTTGACCTCATCCAAAAGCTTATTTGTTTCAATCTTAGAAACTTCAATTTTCTCAAATAAAGTTATTTACAAGGGAAAAAAATGAAGTGGCACTTCTCTCTCCAAATGCATATTAACAGTTCAAACTAGTTACAAACCATCGCCAAACACTCCATAACTTCATCAACCCCCTGGCTCATTATCTGCATTAAGTGCAAATACTTAGCCTTGCAACAACTACCCAAAACGTCATATACTAATGAAAGAACACCATGTGTGGAAAAATGATGAACAAGTGTTTAAGCTTGAATCAAGATCAGCTGAAGATAAATGTGCTGATCACGGAGATCAACACCTGACAACTTCCCAAAGCACAAGAAACTTCAGCTCCTAATCCCGGGCATCATAAGCTTACCTATACAGTCTATAATCAAACTAAATCATACAAAGCCTAACAACTGCAAGCTAAGCAGGTAAACAATGCTACATAATTTTTTATATTTTTTGTGCTTGAAATAGAGTTTACATTCATGTTAAAATGATCACCAAGAAGATATTGAGTTAAATAAAAACCTATCGATACAACAACATATGACAGCTCCTTAAAATGTTAAAGCTGAAATGACAAATGAAGACAAAGCTTTTCTGTGAAGAATGTATTTCTTAACAAGACAAGAAGATATGCTATGTTAACACAAAACTTAACAATACAACAAAATGTGACAGTGTCCTTAAAATTTCGATGCTGAAAGAAGAGGAAAGAAAACTTGCTCGTCAACGAATCTGTTTCCTCACTATTGCATGTTAACAAATGTCTTTCCTAAAAACATGTTACCAAATCTGTAGTTACCTAACAAGGATGAGTGATACTTCTGACACCTAGCAAGATCGGAGTTTAAATATTCATCTCCCAGGTAAAACTACTCTAACTACCACTGCTATGTTTATGATTTATGAGATCAAAACAGTCAGTCTTCAACCACCAAGGACTTCTATTGCCTAGCACATGTATCTAATGACCCTCCGACGTATCCTTAGCAGGGTTGTGGGCATAGGGAAAAAGGAAAACTAATCATCAATCCTCTGAATTCCACTAACTATTTCACAGTACCTGAAAGCATAATTTGACAGGCAGGAAATTGTTCCACACGATTCGCAAGTTGCTGAACAGCACACAATATGTAAAATTATGCAAGAAAGATGAACATTATATTACGCTAGGGCATTCGGGTTTGTAAATGAGAAAGTAGGGGGTGATGATCCTAAATAGAAACGAGGCTTATCATCAATAATCAGTAGTTGCATTGACTCTCTCACAGCACCAGAGAGAATAATTGACATGTAGAAAATTATCTTCATGAATTGCAAGTTGGCAGAACTGCACACAAAATGGATACTTAGCTAGGAGTAGAATTAAGATCAGTTAGTCCATTTGGGATGGTGAAAGATATTTACAAAGAAGGAATAAACTTTATGTTAGGCTAGGTTATTTGGGATAGCTAATCTTAGAACCTAGAACATAAGGGGGGCATAAAAGAAACTAATGTTAATCATACAAAGTTCCGCCGACTATTTCAGGGTGGCAGAGAAGATTATGTAGAGTGACTAGAACAATGCGCCATTTATATCTTTCTGACAAGGAACACTCAACATATACCTATCCAGAAAGTAACAGCTCTAGTTCCTTCCCCCTCCCCCTCTTCCGAACCAGGGGAGTACATTTGGCTATTCAGTTCGAGTTCATATTTTTTTTATTCAAATAATTAGTTATTTAATTTGAGAGAATACAATCACTTTTTCACTTTGGCTTTTTTATTTGGTTCTTCGATTTATTGTTTTGGTGTTTCTAGTTTTGCCTTTTCATTTGGCGCCATCATCAATGTTGGCTATGGATTAGCAAATTTTGAATTAGTATAAACTAGATGAGATCATAAAATCGACAAGATAATTAGGATATTTTCCCTTATTTATCAAAGATTCCCCCTCAATCTCTTTCAGTTTATTAGAACTGATCAAGCTATTCATCAATTTGAACAACGGAAAAGAAAGGAAGGACACAAGGAAGAGAGAGAAAATTAACCCAAGAAAATGCACTCCACTGATAACAGATTATGATTATAGTACAATTATCCGAGAAACAACGACTCAAATTATCATGTCGTTTAAAGTATAGTTCATTTTCGATCTCCTTTTCTCAAAATGAATATTGAATGTAGATGTTAAAATGATAATACTCCATATATCAATTAAATGATTTTTACATAAAGAGTTAGGTATTCAAAGATAAATCCACTTATACGAACTTCTCAAAGCATGACAGGTTCCAAATCCACATTTAGGAGGAAAGTTGACGTAGATTGATGGTTGCAAAGGCTCTATATGGAGGTTCGGAGGAATGTTAGTTTATCAGCAGCACTGCAGAAATCCTGCCGATCAGTTGGCCGAGGTAGCTCCAACTAATCAGCAAGATTACTAGACTGCTACTGAGAAACATTCTGGAATTAGGCCAAGAAAGGTTTCAGAAGTAGCTATCGCCCTAAAAGGTTTTGAGGAATATAATGTTTCTCGGCAGCAGTCCAATTCTTCTGTGCTTTCATTCTGGATTTTCTTCTCATAAGACAATCTCTTAGACCTTAGTGCTTGACTACCCGATATTGTTGGATTGCATTGTGGTTCATCCAAACCTTTGCCCTGGTATTTTTATTTATGGACTTTGACCACTTTGAATTTTCTTATATAAAGAAAGACCAATTAAGACTCTACATATAACCTAGGCACGTGGATGGTTAAAAGGGTAAGAAATTAAATAATAAAGGGCATAGAACATCATCAAAATTCAAATAACGGAAAGGTTATGAAAAGAACATCCTACAGCTTGGTGACTCATTGAATCATGAAAGATTGGTACAGAATGAGTAGTTTATATAGGAGGGGCATGGTACTCTTTGGTTATTTTTCTCATAATTGCTGAAATGAAAAGCATAGTAAGTTGTTAAATTCACAAAAAAAATTAGTAAGTTATTAAATTCAGCAAAAAGAAATTAGTAAGTTGTTACAAATTAAATTTAGTAAAATCAGATTACAGAAACGGATCGGAGAAGGGAAGGGGGAAAAGGATAGTGATATACGGAATTTGCTTCCAATGTTATGACTTTTAGTTGACTCTCTACCTGCACAAGGTAGGGGTAAGGTGTGCGTACATACTATCCTCCCCGGACCCCACTTGTGGGAATACAATGGCTACGTTGTTGTTATTGTTATGCCTTTTAGTTTACAGACTGATAAATCACATAGAACTAAGAAACATATTCGGTTATTTGTAAATCATTAATGGTTGCAGGTACCTCCTGGTTGAGCTAGGAAACCCAATAGTTGGTCACACATATAGGGAGGGCACTCAAGTAGTTGATGTTTTAACAAATACGGGTTCCAACCTAAATGTGTTTGAGCTAATTATGAATTATTGTTCCCCCAATTCTTTTTCTATGGAAGTTTATGTACTAATCTCTAATACTCTGCATCCTTTTAAGCAAAGCACAAAAAAAAGAGAGGAAGATTAACAATTATAGTATTTGTGGAAAGACAATTGAATAACTGCAAATATTTAAAAAAATATCAATGGGACATAAATATAGAATTTAAATCTTTTTCTGAGTCCCAAGGTCTTAGATTACTAATTAGATAAATTTTACCAGTGGGAAACAGAAGATTGTGAGTCCAGGTTGTTGTAGAATTGAGTCAACCGCCGCCGATTTTCGGGTTTCCGGTTAATAGGTTTCTTCCGCAAACCAAATATTTCTTGGACCAAAGGTACATGAACCAGAACTAATTTCCAGGCCAAGAACCAACCTGCACAAAATTTTCACAATCAAAATGCTTTTAGCTGAAATTCGAGATTTTTTTACAAAAATAGACAGACAGACCTAAGAGGAGTAAGGAGAGGACGAAGATGATAGCAAGAAGGGGACGAAAGAGGAATAGACTCAGATATTCCCACGATGATACGGCATTCAGCTCGTAGGATGACGACTCCATGATTCAACTGAGAAGCTGGAATTGAGTATTTGCAGGAATTTCCAAATTGAAACGGGAAGAAGGGAAGAAACTAAAAAGAGTAAATTACACTTTGTCACTAAACTTTATCATGAAGTCATGATACCACCCAAAACTTTGTTTTAAAATTTTCGGGGAAAATGACAAAAATGATTCTCTTAAGTTTGGAGAGGGGGGGGGGGGGGGGTAGATTTAAATAGTCCCTTAAATATGCTATTGAACAATTTTAGTCCTTTAGTTTCCAATATTGAGCACTTCAGTTTTCACTTTTCAAGTTTTCATCAAATATTTAACAAATTATGCTGTTAGATTTAACGAAAACAGTTTTTTTTTAAATATTTAACTAGAAATATTAGGAAATCATATCAAATCTCAAAATCCGCAACATCAAAAATTACACCAAACACTAAAAATAGATCGAAAATATTAGAAATACACCTAAAAAATGACACTAAACACAAAAAGTAGACAACAGTAGAAGCTGCAAAAAACGTACCTCCAAATATTGGTTTCTCTTAATTTTTTTAATACATTTGTCATTAACTCTAAGCATTATTTGCAAAATATTTAATGTAGACCAAAAGTATTTATTTATTATAAATTTAATTGAATTTTTTTTTTTACTATCAAATTTTATTACCAAAGCAAAAATTTACGGCTCAAAAATACAAAATTGATCTAAGGCTTGACATCATTCCAAAACCTTAGGAAACATCTTACTAGTACTATCAGGAAGGAAACAGGTTTCCTTGTCCTTCTTTTAGCAGCTCATATTCAAGGATAGTAGTTCAAGTCTTCAAACCTTCGGCTTGATCTGGGCTTCATGTTACCTCTACCAAATATTAATTGAATAATCAGCTTGATAATCAACTCTGGTTGCCTCTGTTTTGTCTGGAATATCCTCGTATTTCTCTCCTGCCATATATCATAGACACATCTTGCTAATGCCACTCTCTAAAATTTCCTCACTAGTAGTTTTCGCTTTGTCATGGCAGTATGACCAAGCTAGCTCCTGTTTCCATCTGTTCTTTAGATTTACTTATACTGTTATTATTTAGGGCAAATTTCTTCAATAGATAGACATAAAAAGACATGTCCTAAGTTGATGCTTTTTGGCTCTATATTGCATAGAGTGCAACATAGGTCATTAGTTATCCCCCATCTTGCTAGCCTATCTCTAGTGCTTAACTTTCCAATTATAGCTAAATACATAACAAAACATCCACTTGGGAGATCCAATATTGTTGCATACCAGTTTCTTCAATTGTATTTTCTGATATTCACCTTTTAACCTTTGATACACCTTTTTAGTGGAAAACCCAAGATAAAATTTCTTGTATATTAATCTGCATCAGTAAGGTATTTTTTAGCCTTCAAAATCTTCTTTACCATACATGAAGTTTCTTTAGGTTCAACTTCCACAATTGTTTTTGTCTCTACCATAGTAAAATGTGTATCCATTGGACTCATAGTTTATCCTTTTTATGGGCTAGATTCAATAGCAACATGCATAGCAGGGTTATTCCATACAAAGATATCTAGTAAATTCCATCCATACCAACAATTTTAGATTGGCAGCGTCTTTCACATGCTATCGGTGCTCTTTTAGTTACATTTATTCTTCCATACTAAAGGAATTTCTCGCATATTGCTTCAATCATTATTATGACTTTCTTAGAAAATACAAATATATGTGACCAGCAGATATGTACGAAGAACAAAATACTTTAAATAAACTATATTCTCCCTGCATACGATAACAATTTTGAGGTCCATGATGTAATTATGCCTATCATTTTGTCCACCAATGGCTGAAACTGCATAACAAACATCATTTTTATGCTTAATAGAATCCCCATGTATTTAATTGAAAGATCTCTTCTCGTGAAACAAATTTTATCTAGTATTATCTGTTGAATCACTAGGTGTACTCCTCCAAAGTATATGGAACTTTTATAGTTCTTTGCTTTCAGACTAGAAACACAAAAAAATCCTTAAAACAATCATAGAACATATGTATAGAAACCTTATCACCCCTACAAAAATAGTTGCGGGTCATCTGAAAAATCAAGTTGCACTACTTTCAATTTTTCACTCCTTGGATGGCGATTGAAATCTGGCTACACCTTAGTGTATTCTGCTTAAGTAATCCATGACAAGTACAAACAAGAATGGGGAAAGAGGATTGCCTTGCCTTAATCCATTTTTTTTTGCTGAAAAATCAACAATAAGGCTTCCATTTATCATGATTGAGTATGAAAAAGTGAGAGTACATTTTATTATCCATTTGATAAATATAGCATAAAAGTTAATATTAATCAGAATTTGCTCAAAAACATTACTATAAGGAATCATAAGTTTTCAGCATGTATAGCTTTCATACATATCGAATATATTTATTTTCTCCCATATCCTTTTATTAGTTCATGGCTCAAGATGATATATCTGAGGATGATCCTTCTTGGAATAAAAGCAGCATGGCAGCTATCACTAATGTTATCCATGACCATTTCTAATTCAAAGTTAAGCACTTTAGATAGGATCTTATACATCACTGTACAACATAAAATTATTTTGTATTCCGTTGTTGGATTTTTGACTTTGGAGATCAGGGTCACTGAAGTACAATTGGTTGGCTTACAAATCTCAGCATTGTTAAAGAACTATCTAGCTGCACTGATTATATTTTCTCCTATAAAAGTCCATGTTTTCTTATAGAAAAAATTATTAAAGTCATCCCATCCTGGTGATTTTGTATCATCTATGCCTCTGATTGCTGCACACATCTTTTCCCTTATTATTGGTTCAATTAGTTTCAGTTGTTGATCTCTATCTAGTATTGGCCCTTCTTTAATTATTCCTGGATTTATTGTTGGTATTTGTTAAATAACTGTGCCCAATAATTTATTGTAGAAATCCACTATTTCTTCCTTCACCTCCTACTCTATTTGCACCAGAATTCCTGCTAGGTTTATCAGTAATGTAATGTTATTTTGAGAAGTTCCTTACTTCAAGAAAGCGTAAAAATAAGCAATGTTTGAGTCCTCAAGTTATAGCCACTGATTCTTTAAGTTTTGTTTAAGAATGCTTTTATCTATTAACCCTCATTTCTCTAGTTGAATCCTCAACTACTTTTCCGTTTCAAATAATATTAGTGAATGATTTGTATCTCTCATTTGTTTTTGTACCTCTTTTATCTGACTTATAATTAACTGCACTTTATCACAAACTCCTTCAAATTCTTCAGTCTGTAGCTTTCTAAATGCCTATTATACCAATTTCAGCTTCAGGCACACTTTTTTCATTCCATCGTAAATGTGAACTTAAAGCATTATCCACCACCCTCATGAACTCAGGAAGATCCACTATATTGTTATAGAATCTGTATGGCCTTGGACCACCTTTTACTACATCTTCAAAATGTATTCTCAAGGGTGAACGATAAAAAATGAATGGGTCCATAACTAGCACTTCCTGTTGCCACATGACGAGCGTAAAACACAAAATAAAATTAATGCTCGCTAGCCAAAGATAGTATTGTTTAAATATCGTTTCCACATGGATTGATTATTAACACTTTGATTGGAATGATTATTAACTAAATTAACTATTAAAACTATAAAATTAATAAATTAATCTCAGAAAGATAAAATTTGAGTGACACTAAAATAATCAATGGGAGAAATAAGGGTCGCGACTGATATGTCCAAGATCGCTATTCGGGATCTAACTCTAGTTCAATTCACTCTAATGTTCTAATGATTCTAACGAATTCACTCGATGATTAGTTCAATGATATAGCCAAGACTCCTCTCTCGAATAAATCTGAAATCTTAGAGGTAAACTAATATAAAGCTCTATGAAGATATGCAAGAACACGTTAATGGACTAGCCGTTAGGAAAACATCTCTTGAATATTCTCCTAACTTGATTTAATCAACAATTCACAAGCTCTTTCGATTACTTAAAAGAATCACTTAACTAAACCAAACGAAATAGTACAAAGCTAATCACCCAAATTATTCCTCTTTCAATTAAATAATTTGGTGAACAAAATTGCAATCGATCAAAGCTCCATAAATGAATTTATGCAAAATACTACAGTTAAAATCCATAAATATCAATCAAAACAACATATCCGTCAAATCCTAAAGTAAACTACTCCATCATGGAGGAAGTCATCTCAGATAGAGTTAAAGAATAAGAAAACATGAATTCAATCCAAACTCGGCTGTTGAGTTGAGGAAATAATGATGACTCCTTGTACCTCAAAGTCTCCAAAGCTCTTCCAATCTTCCGTAGGTTCAAAGTCCTCTATAAATCGCTTTTTTGGTATATTTATATAATGTAGGAACAGGTCCAGATAAAACTACCCTCTCTGAGCTGAAGTGGGAAAAGTTAGACCAAAAATCACACTATCGCGGCACCCTGGGTGGCGCACCATGCGCCGCATTAGTGAAAAAGTTCAGAAGCCCATTTTTTCACTCTACGGGAATTTTATAGTAGCACCCTATGCACACGGCTAATAAGTGGGGATTTTGACTACTTATTAGCGTCTTTTAGCTTTCGTTTTAGTCCAAAAACGTTAAAATGTGTTCCCGAAAACTAATGAAATATGCTAAATTGCAGGAGTATTGGAAAATGAGCCACTAAGATGATATCCAACTCAAGAAGAAGTGATCTGAACTCAAGGACGAAAACAGGCACAGAAGCTCAAACCACAAAATATCATTTCAGATAGAGGCACGCAGTTGACATCGTAGTTTTGGAGAGCCGTGCAACGAGAGTTGGGAACTCAGGTGGAGTTGAGCACAACATTTCACCCTCAGATGGACGGGCAGTCCGAGCGCACTATTCAGATATTGGAGGACATGCTACGCGCTTGTGTTATTGATTTCGGAGGTTCATGGGACCAGTTTCTGCCACCCGCGAAGTTTGCTTATAACAACAGTTATCAGTCGAGTATTCAGATGGCTCCGTATGAGGCTTTATATGGGAGGCGGTGGAGATCTCCGGTGGGTTGGTTTGATCCGGGCGAGGCTAGGCTATTGGGTACTAACTTGGTTTAGGATGCTTTGCACAAGGTTAAATTGATTCAGGAGCGGCTTCACACGATG